TCCTTTCCTTGTTGGATAAAATAAAAGACGATGGCGACTCTTGCTTACAGCGACATTTTGCAAAAACAAACGCAAAACGTGAACCAGCATTCCAAAAACAGTCAGTTCTCTCCCACCGTATCACAGAAGGTAACCTATAAGACGCTTTAGCAATTTTCGTAAGGGACTTAAGATCGTTTTACCAAAGGCAACGTCGAAGGATCATCGATGGACTACGATCTTTTTTATCGAGGGTCTTTGTTAAAGCGTCCCACATTCGAGGGACATGACTATTTATTCGTAGGCAACAAGTGAGGTTACCCTAGAGGTGCGCGTGTGAAAAGTGTTTGATTGCATGCATTTTTGTCTTTGAGATTAGGGTTCTCTAAGATTGATTTTATCTTGCCATACACACCCTAATTACTAACAATTATATTAAAAGCGATAAATTGCGAAAATTAAAATCCTACGCTATTACATCATTTGGGGATGGGGGTACAAATTTACAAATGGGGAGGTAAAAGCAAATAAAACCTAATTTTACTATTACAACCATATTGAATGAATAAATAATATACAAGAATGTAAAGATAAATAAATAAAAAAGAAAATTGTTTTTTTTTTAAATTATGTGTTGACACATGCACTTACGCATTGATATAAAAAATTTATGCATTAACGCATACACTTATGCATCAATTCATATAACTCCTTGTTCTTGAAAGTAAAAAACCAACTCAGTATGAGTTGATACATAAAGGTTTGTGTTAGCTCATAACTTGTTTTGCATTGACACATACCCCTATGCATCAACACATATCATTTCTTGCTCTTGGGAATAAAAACCAACTCAGTATGTGTCAACACATAATGGTTTGTATCGACTCATAACCCATTTTGTATCGACTCATGCGTGTTTTGTATCTACTCATACACATTTTATTTCTCTAAAAATCAAAACCAACTCAGTATGAGTCGACACATAATAGTTTGTATCGACCCATAACCTATTTTGTATCGACTCATGCGTGTTTTATATCGACTCATAACCTGTTTTGTACCATATATGTGTCGACACATAGAGATATGCATCGACTCATACTGCTGTTTTTTCACTTCTAACATTATTCTGTCACACACATAAGTTAGTTCTAAACACATGGTTACTAAAAAATTAAAAAATAAACATATAGTTAACTTCAGGGCAATAATATCTACATTTTAGCTTCATAAATGAACCACTGATGATGCTTGTATGAATATTCAAAGTCAAGAAGACTTACCTTAAAGATGAACTCTATGTTTGGAGTTTGAGTTGTTGTATTATATTGGAGAAAGCAAGTTGGAGGTGGCTGTTTTTTTTTTTTGAGTTTGGGAAATAGTGATGTTACAGAAATTTTTCTTGTGTTTGAACAATTTCTATGTGATATATATGAAGTATTTAGACAGTTGGTTTAGGGGGAAACTTGCAAGGTTGTATAGTGGGTTGAGGTTTTTTTTCAGTTTTTATTTTTTGTTTTGTGAATGAAAATAAAGTGGAAGATGGGTAGAGTTTACAAAGAATTCTGTTTAGTTTTACAAATCCTCTTTTTTCTTTCTCTCAAAAACCCCTCTCAAAACCCCTCCCAAAAACCCCTTTTAAAAACCCCTTTTCTTTTGTGTGTTGTGAAATAGCTTATTTATAGATGAAATTAACAAAAATTTGGGAGGGAAATATATAAGTTTTTGAACTGTTTGGATACACAATTTTGTTGCTTTTTAGATGCAACTCTTATGTGCTAATTTTGCGCAAATTTGGGACTGATATAGTGCAGGTTTGGACAGGGTTAGAGGAAACATAGTAGGGCTACTTTGTACCAGATTTGGAGTGGAGTGGCAGCTTGGTGTAGGGATGGCTTTGTACAGGACAACAGACTGATTTTGACATGGTTTTGGGCTAGTAGCAGCAGGCTTGGACTTGACAGCATATCAGATTTTAGGGCTTTTCTGGACAGCAACATTTATACATGATACAAGTCTGGTTTTGTGGACAGATTTATGCAGCTTGTAACAAAGACAAGGCATGTTTGTGGACATCATAGTGGAAAAGTTTTAAAGATTGAGTCAAAGGGAAAAGTTCAAACAAGACAAAGCTTAGGATTTGTAACTTGCAATTTTTCTTAACTTAAAAATGAAACCTTGTTGTTTACTTGAAAACTTGTAACAACTTGAATTATCTTGAATTGTGGTGAAAATATGTCATGAAGTAATGAAATTAACATGTATAAAAAACACTTAGAAAAATTTCTAAGTCTTGCAAAGTTTGACTTTTCAAAATGACTTTTGACTTTCTTGATTTTTTGATGATCAAATTTCATATTTTGAATGTCTTGATGAAATGTGATCTTTGAAACTCAAATTTGATCAAAAAGTCAAAGTTTGACTTTTCAGTGTACAATTGACTTTTTTCATCAGTTGACCAAATTTCATCTATCAATCCACTGATCTTGGGAGATGAATTGAAATATGCGATTAGGTCAAAATTATATACTTGAATTCTTGAGATCATATTTCAAACCAATAAGTCATATACTAGGTCAAGAGTCAAAGATTGGTCATTCTCAGTAAAAACCCTAATTTTTACCATTTTGCCCTTTTGATGATTTGAACAATTTTCTTGTAGAATTGCGATCCAATCTTGATCAAATGATACATATGACTTCAAAATGTTGATATTGGTCCAAAATCTTGAAGTTTGACTGTAGGTTGACCATAATTGACTTTTTTTCTAATACAATTGATTTTAGGCCATCTGATCAATTGCCTGAGCAATTTTGTGATCCAAGACTTGAAACTTGACATGAGCAATCTTGAGGGTCCATAATGATCCATGAAAGTCATTTGAAATATTAGAAGTCCAACTGTCTTTGTGCAAAACCAAACCCTTATTTGAGGCATCAGTGTTGAGGTGATGGCTTGACCTAGTCAATACTTGTGCAAGCTTGAATCATTGAAGATCTTTGTGAGAAGTATCTTGAGAAAAGGGATGACAAATTTTGGGATACAACAAAGTGTAGAAGTATTTTAATAAATTTAGGATTAAATAGGTTTCACTGAATTTGAACAAGACAACAATAAGCACTAGTTCGCCTCCTTACATGTCCAATCGAACATGCATGCAGAAAATCCTTCGCCAAGACTGCCACCTAGCCTGCACTTACACTACAACCTATGTCACCTCTATTTCTCTAATTGGGATGGCATCACCTTTCAATTTTGTACTAATTCGCCAAGCCAAATGGCGTCTCCCTACATGTCAAATAGTATTACATGCATGTAGAAAATCCTTCCCCGAGACTGCCACCTAGCTTTCACCTACACTACAACAACTAAGCTTGTACCACGCCAAGTTGAATGGCACATGCTCTATAAATTGCATGTAGGTGCCATTTGACTTGGCGCATGAGTGACACGTATCATGCATGCATGCAACCACCAACCACCTCATTTATCCACTCTATGATACAATTTTGCCTATGAATACAGAGCCTCACATACTTGTTTTGCATTAACAATCATTTCACTCTCTGATATAAACTCTTTCACTATCTTATACAATTTTGACTATGGATCTTCTCACAATGGGCGATTCTCATAGAGGTACAAGGGACAACATTGCGGTGTTTGTACATTTTTATAAATTCTCAAATATTCTTGTATACTAATATATATTTTTGTAATATTTTTAATGATTTATACATCTTATAGACTCTTACACTTTTTACATTTTGAATTTAGGATACTAAAAGATTCAGAATTCGCTCACACAACTACATTGCTCCCGACCCGTTGATCGTGCCCTATCTCGAATATGCAGGTTTTGGAAATGTTATAAAGATCTCCAACTGCACGATTGATTCAAAGTTTATACTTTCAATATTGGAAAGATGGAGACCCGAGAAACACACATTTCATCTATTAATAGGTGAATGCACCATTACACTAGAGGACGTGTACATGTTATTAGATCTCCCTAACGATGGTAAGGAGGTTAACAGGTCGGTTCAACAACCCAATTCTCTATGCGAATAATTGTTGGGCAAAGATATGGTTAAAGGTGGTGGTGCTAGAGGCCAAGGTATATTACTTACTAAACTAAAAAAACATTATGCGACTCTAGAGTTGAATGAAAATTCCTCCGAGCTAGCAAGAGTAATAAAAGCTCGTAATTATATAATGATACTGTTTGGATTCATTTCCTTTCCTTTCTACCCCCTTACTCAGACAACCAGTGCTATAGACCAACCATGGAACCCCACCCACCACCAAGACAACCAAACTTTGAGGGCATGAGTAATCGACTGTACCAAAGCGGATCTTCCAGATATAGTGATCTGACTGATTTCATGGATCCTAAACGCATTGACTTCGCTGGGCCATTGACCCTGCCACAATAGGAAATGCGACGAAATCCACCACGAGACAGGCGAGGACACGGATGCGGATGCAGAACCACAAGTCGTTACCGAGTTCTGGGGGACCACTAATTATTTTATATGTTTTTTTTATTATGTAATCGTTTTTTGTAAATGAAAAGTCGAATTTTCGTGAAACTATATCGTTTACCTAATATCTCGCATTTAAAATAAAAAACAGAAAAAATTGCACCTCCATTGCAGTTAGGCGCCACCTCACATGACTTAGGGCAAACTTTTAGCACCTAGACGCCAATCGTCAAGTAAGATGACGCCTCCCCTTTACTTTTAGGTGCATGTGCCAACTAGGTTGGATCCTCCTTTATAGAGTTTTCTGAAACATAGTTATTTGCATAATTTTTTACTAAACATGATTATTTGTGTAATTTTTTTTTTAAAATCTGATTATTGAAAAAAAAAATTATGATTTTCATTCTATTGGACTTTGTGATCCATTTTATCAAAAGGGCATTTGTGATATTATTTAAAATGGCCTAAACTTAATTTTTTATAGATAAATATCAGATCTAAATTGGAAATCAAAGGGCTCATAATTTTTGGATCTCTCTCATAAAGCTCCGTCCAATCGATTTCCACCTCCTTCCTCTTTTCGCATCACTGGCCGCTACTGTTAACAACCGAATCCTCCGTCCGATCCTCTCCACCGCCAGCTTCTACTCTCACCATCATCAACACCATCCCCTGTTTCTCTACTCATACGTCGGACAAACGCCACCCAAACATCATACTCCCTCCGCTGAGTTTCGTAACTATCCTCATCAACAATCTTTCGCCATCCACTATTTTTCTCTCATTCACTATCTTCATACGATCCATCACCTTCATCAATTTCTCACCAACAAACCTTCCAGCTTAATCGCTCAACATTCCACCTTCAGCAAACTCAGATCCTTTCCGTTGCAACTCCATCCGCACAGCTCTAGCTTCGAAGATCGCCCTTCGTCCAGATTTCCACCGCCAATACATTCTCTCTGTTCGTCGCAGATCCTGCAGAACTCTCTCTCGGCGCATACGTATCGATTTCTGTTATCTTGCGGTGACACTGATTCCAACAGTATCTTAGTTCCAGGCGTTTCAATCACAATCGCAGCTTCAGCATCACGTTCGCGTCGATTTCGACATCTCGGTAACGTTCGCGTCGACTTCGACATCTCGGTAATTTTCAATCTCTTTTGATTTGTTAAATTGAGTTATCGTCAAGATGTTGCGATGAATGGTTGTTACAAAATTTGATTTGAACTGTTATGATGAAAAACTTGTGTTGTTTGAAAACTGCTAGAAATCCAGAAATTGAGTTGAACAGTTGTGTAGAAATCCAGAAATTGCTGCTGCCTATGGTGTTTTCGATTTGATATAAATTGTTGAGTGGTGTCGAAGATATGATAAATTCTAAACTATGTGTTTTCTTGTTTGTGTCGGAATAGGGTGATAGTATTGTATCGATATCATGTTTAATTGTGTTAAATATAAGAGAAGTTTTGATTCGACTTGTTATTCGGGCCAATTTTAAATGGATAATCGGTGATGACATCACTTTTGTTGATTGATTTTAACGTCGTGCCATTTTGGTGTGAAATGATTAGGAAGAGATCTTGTTGATTTGTTTTGGCTTTGGATCTGAGTAAATAAATTGGGGATGTTTTGAATCGGTTTAATCGTCAAGTCTGTTAGTGAACTAGTGTTGAAGTTGTGATGAAGCTTGTCTACCATATCTTGTGTAATTGTGCTAAATTGCGATAATCCTTGATGTTGCTACTTGTTTGATGAATGTGTGATAATAATACTCGTGTGGTATAATTGTTGACTAAGTTTAATGGCGTGATATGTTTGTTTGAATCAAGTTGGAGAGAATTTCGATGGCGTTTTGGTTACATATTGAGTTTTAAGTTCGAAAGAAAAATCAGTTGTGGTACTTTTGTGTCCGAAAGTGCTTGATTGTGATTGAAATGTATTCTTTTGAGCATTATTAAGATTGCATAGATGCTGTCCAGATTTGGTTTATGCGATTTAAACTTGTTTAGAACTTGACTTCAAATGTTTGCAATTAGCCCATTTCCTCTTCCCATCTTTTATTCACTTTTAATTAATTAAACTAGCATTGATTTATTTACTTGATTTTGTTATTAAAAATGGATTAGTTTGCTAATTTATTTTTCTTAACTCGATTAATTAAGTTAATCAACTCTTGATTAATCGATTAAACTTTCATTTCATGTTACTTTGTTGCTTTAGTTAATTAACTAAAAGCCGATTTAGTTATTTAATTTCGTTATTAAAAATTAATTAATTTCGACTAATTAATTTTTATTAACTTAATTAACTTTTTAAGTTAATTAATTAAGCATCTGCTTCCATATTTTATTTGTTTCACTTTAGCTTTGATACCGATTTTTAGTTCGCTCGAACTTGATCTCTTAAATGTGCGATTTATTCGTCTCTTATCCTGTTTGTCTGTTATGTCTGTGATTTTTATCCGATGCAGAGATTCTTATTCGTTATCTTGATGATGCTTTATGCTTTATTTGACATCTTGAGCTTACTGTTTACCGTTGTTTTTGGTAAACAATCGCTGATCTCTAAAAAGGTAAGTTTTTTTTTGGTTTACTTACGGGATCGATCAAACTAATCCCAGGACATATGCTAATTTTTATGTAAAATGAGTAAGAAGGAAGAACGCACGTTCGATCCAGAGAAAGGATGTTTGGAAAAAAAGGTGTTTTCAACGTACATTGTTCAGCTTTATCCTTTCTCACGCAGTAGTTACTTGGATAATATTTGAGTGATTTAGTACAATAGGTTGAACACACTTGAAAATTACACAAGTTTCTTAATTTATACTAAAAGTAGGTAATCGTCGAGGGGACATTCTGCGCTAGGATGAAGACAAGTGTCTTCTGCATGACCCTCGACCCATAGCTTTTGGACACGTTGCCTCTTCTCAGACGCTGATGAAAACTGCTTTTCCCTCCAATAATTCAAAATTCAAATAGTCCTCGTTCCATGTGCCAAAGCGTGAACACTTTCTCTCAGTCGAGCAACATAAGTCTGCTTCAGTCGAATGAGCCCTTGGTCGAAGATTCCTATCATAACTTAGATATTTTTTCTTAAGTTATCTCATGTGTCGAATCATACTCCCTAGTTTGGTTCATTCCAGTTGTTTGGTCCAAAAGATCAAATACAGTAAGTGTCGAATTTGGGAGCCAACAAATTGTCCCCCAAGAATGTCTATTTCGACGCTCAAAGAAATAGCCATTCTTTGAACTTCCCATTCGACACCTGTCTTCCCAATTGTCCACCAAGTCTTGACGTGTGCCTTTCGCCTTCCAACAACTGCTATACTTGATAAAACCATCATTACTTTTTCTCCAAGATGTCTCTTCAAACTGCCGTTACCACGCTTGCCATGATGACCATATTCCTATAACCTAGGCAAGCATGTCCCAACGTTTCCCAATGCCTGCACGGTAACCATTTTGCGCTTCGCCACGTGTCCCACTACCTGCGAAACATTAAATGGTCTTGACGAGACATCTCCCTCTTCTGAAGGCTATAAATACTTCCAAGCCTTTCTATTTGAAATTTTTACCATTTCCAGCATTACCAAATCCCTTGCTTTCTCACAACATTGTACTGTCAACTTCGTTTTTTCTCTCAACATCTCAACAATGGCTTTTCTCTCAAATGCACCAAACAATCCTCAACCAAAAAACGCTAATGATGTCCAGAAACCCCCAAAGATCTTTTCCATTAACCCTCATTCTTCCTCGACTAACAAGTACATTGCTGAACCTATGACGAAAGAATGGCGAGAAGAATATGATTCTCAGCTCCTCATTCCCATGAGATACGGTGGAAACATGTACGCTATATCTGGTCCGTTATCTTCATGCGTCAAAAATCCCTTGAAAAACCGCGCCTACTTTCCAACTCACCCAAGGCTTAGACCCATAGGTTGCGCGAAGAAATCTAGGGAGGACCCTGAAGACGCTACACCGGCTAATCAGCAGCATCCTCAGACTACAGAAGATATCAACCTCCAGTTCATGAATAAAGGGAATCGAATCTTTCGATCAAGCTCTAACCTTTCTTCTGAATACTCAGACTGGTTGAATAAAATGGAGAGGGCGCAAGCTTCTGTCTGGAAGGAGATGGGCATTTATGACTTGGTGATGCTGTCGAAGACATAATTGCCTTACTGTCCCCTTATGCTGGTATCTTCATTGTACTTTTGGGATATCGCACATTTCACTTTTCATCTTCCTTGTGGGATGATGACCCCCACTTTATTCGACATAGCTGCCATCACTGGTCTTCGACTCACTGGTGACTATTTTGACCCTGAAGACTTGTCTGAGGATCCTATTGGGTTTGTTGCTACAAAACCCACTTACACCACCTTTATCCACTTTCATGACAAAACCTCTAGTACCGTGTCAGAGGTGGAGCATATAGCCTTCTTGGCCATGTGGCTGTCTCGTTTTGTTTTTTGTACTAAATCACTGCAGGTGACGAAAAAGATGCTGACGCTCGCAACGCAGCTTCATCATAAATACCCCTTTTTCCTGGTCGAATTGATTCTGGCCAACTTATATGAGTCCATCAGTAATGGTGTGACTCAACTTAAGGTTATAAGAGACAGGGGGAGCTTGCTGCTATCTGGTCCCTTTTGGCTTCTCCAGCTGTGGCTCAATGCCACCTTTGAATCCTTCCTTCCCCAAAAGAACAAGATTAACGAAGAGGCTCCTGAAATCTTGAATAAGAGGGTCGAAGGCACTAGGCTTGCATTGCTAACTCCCACTGATGAAGGCCAACAGTTCCAGAAGGCGTTCACAAGCTTCGTAATGATGTTTGCGGAGCGAAAGAGCTTTGTTTCGACTATGGCTCCCTTTGCTAGTCGAAAAGTTGGTCCGGAATGGTTTACCAGACCATACCCTTCGAATGTGGAGGATGACGTGACTGATGAGTTCGTGAGCATGTGAGAATCGTTTCTGCGCCCCAGGATCATGCCCTTAAGATTCAAGAGCTCAAAAAATCAATTGAGCCTAATTGCTTATCAACCAAATCTTGTCTCTCGACAATTTGGTATTGCTCAATCACTTCCTTCACCTATTTATCCTCGAGAGAAGCTGCTACTTTTTTATAATGCAGACTACTCAGAAGATGCTGCTACCAAGCACATTGGTAGGTATTTCGATCAAACTATACTGACCCTGTTCGACTTTAACCTTCATTTTCTGAGTTCCGTCACTTTTGAGGCATGATGGAAACAATACTATGACGAGGAGTTCTTCGATGAAAAGGACTTCGCCCACCATCTACGTGAGGCGTTTAAGCTGGTTCTCGACAGAGTCAAGAAAGGTATTATTCTTTTCCATCTCTTCGTCTTAGATTTGTCTTTCGACACTTAATTAACTATAACTGTCTTGTCTTCTGTTTAGCTGTCAAGAGAGCCACCTCGAAGAAAACCGCTGAGAGTACAAAAGGGGGAGATTCTGTTGTCAACCCTTCTCCTAAGGTATTTACCTTTCCTTTATACCCTTAGTTTTTATCTGACATAGGTACTTATCCCCTCGACTTGATTTCCTGGGTATTCAGAAACCTACCCCCAAAAAACGGAAGGTTCAAGAGATCCAAATCTCTAGCGATGAAGAAGAGGAGTCCCCTCCTGTTCCTTTGCAGAGACAAAGATTAAAAAAACCAGTTCCTTCCGTCGAACCCTGTCCAAAAATCAGGATTAAAACTACAGCTGGGAGGCTTCCTCCTGTAGTCATCAATGAACCTACTGAATAGGAGGTAATCACTAGGTTAAACAATCCCAACGAAAGTGACAACTCTAGTCCTGGTGCTGAAATCCCAGTCCAGGTATTTACTTCGACTGCTTATTATTTATTCCTCCATTCTCTTTTGCTTTGTGAGGATTCTAAAAGAAACAAATTCTTTCTGTTTCCCAGGACACTGCTGGCACTTCCACATGAATTCCTACTCATGTCGAGGATTCAGTCACTCTCTTGAATAGTGAAGGGGATCCTACTTATAGGCCCTCTTCAGCGAAAGGCTCTTTTATGATTTCAACTGAAGAAGTAAATCAAACTTCTTAACCTCAGCACGAAACCATAGAAGAAGCTGATGAAGAAGAAGTTGCAGGAAACCAAGAGGAGACTAGGGTTCCGCTGGCTGAAGTGCGAGAGACTGAGGAGGAAGGTATCCCTGGCGTTGAAACTGAAACAGAAAGGGAGAATGTAGAGATTCCAGAGGCTGACGGTGAAGAAGGTTTTGCTGAAGGAAACCAAAATCCTCCAGGTATTGAAACAGTTCCAAGTCAAGTGACCAACGTGGTTGTTACAGCCAACGAAAGTATCCCTTCGACGGGATCCAGAATCAAGGAGGATTTGGCCTTAGTGAAACAACATAATCCGTTAGGTTATCTAACTGCAATTCTAGAAGGTCGAGAGAGCTCCTCTGATCACAGCGCCTCGACTGCATCTGGAAGATCCACTTCGACTTCCCCTCTCGATGAGGTTCTTCAAAAAGTTAAAGCACAAATCTTTAAAAGAGATTTGATGTTAACTTTAGAGGGGGAACCAACAACTTCTTCCTTTCTGAAGACTATCTTGAAAGTTGTCGATCTTCTTGCCGCTCCTCCGGATGTGGCTAGTGTAATCTTGGATTTACTCTCCATTATCGACCAGGTATCAGCGGATTACAACCGTCAGAGAACTCTCACCCGTGAGATTGAAGAAGCCAATGGTTAAGTGGCTGCTTCCTGACATGCTGCTACTGAGTCAGCTTCTAGGGTAAAGGATTTGTCGAAAGCCCAGGAGGCTAGACAAAAAGCGGTCGAGGAGATTGATCGAGACAATGTTCAACTGAGGGCACAAATTGCAGAGTTGGAAGCCAAAATTGCTGCCAACGACAAAAAGAAAGAGGAACTTCTTGCTGTGAACACTGAATCAGAGAGCCAAGAAGAATTCGCTGAAGGATTAAAACATGCCGATCGAGCTCAATCTCTGGATGCTAAGCTTGGGACTCTTCACCAATCGAAAGCTCTAGTTGATCGACGACTAGAATTGCAAAGAATCAAGTATCTCCAGATTAAAACTAATCTTCCCTTTTGAATCCCGTTTCTCTTATTCATGTAATCACTTGTTTGTAACGATTCCAGAGCCATTTTGGCACTTTTAATGAAAATTTTAAGTTTCCATTTTGGCATTCTCTATTAATAGTGACTACATATTATTTATTTTTACCTCTTGAAGCACAGGTCTATATGTTTTCAGGTATTTACCATTCACCTTCAAGAGTCTTTGATCCTCGCTTAATTCTTCGATCTCATAGGCTCCGCCTGAGAATGCTTGCACAATCCTAAAAGGTCCTTCCCACTTAGGAGACCATTTTCCCAAGTTTCTGTCTTTTCGATCCATTGAGAGTATTACTTTCCAAACTAGATCTTCAGGCTGAAATGTCTTGGACTTTACCCTTCGATTGTAGGATTTCTCGCTTCTTCTGTAGTCTCAAAAGGTCCAAAGCTTTCAACCTTTCTTCGTCTAAGTCTACTAGTTCATCCAACATCATGCTCCAATAGACTTCAGAAGGGATCTCATGATGTATCTGAATCCTTGTCGCTTGCAAGTGGATTTCCACTGGTAACACTACACCATGACCATAGGTTAGGCGAAATGGTGTTGTCCCAGTGGCTTCTTTTGGACAAGTTCGACACGCCCACAGGACTTGATCTAGTGTCCTCATCAACAATCTTTCAAATGCCCGCTGTGTTTTTCACTCTGATGGCCCGGGGCATGATACAGATAACTGCTGGGTCTTGAAGAACAAGGTACAAGACTTGATTGATGCGAAAGAGATTCAGTTCGAAGCACCAGGAAAGCCTAATGTCATAACAACTCCTATGCCGAAACATGATGCGAGAGTAAATGCTATTGGGGATGACGATGATGAAGAGTTTGATATTGACAACTGGACCTACCCAACTGCTGATGGTGGATTGAGCAATTGGACAGCGAAGGATTCCATGCCCGTTTCTTTTGTTACCCAGTAATGAGACTTTTGTTTTGTATTGGTAACAAACAATGTTTTGAACTTTATGGCCCGGTGTCTTACCCGGGGCATCATGGCTTCATTTGTGAGGGCTTTATGTGTGTCATCTACATATATCATTAATAAAAGCATTGGACGTTTCTTGCATTTCAAATTTTGCGCTCATGGTCTTTCTTTTGTTATATATTGCAAAATAGCTATTTTACACACACTCACATATCATGATCCACATCCATTCTGGATCACATTGATAACGACTCTGCTACTTCCAGTTATGACTTCGAAAGTCCGATCAACCAAGCCAAGGATGAAGGTGAGAACGATTGTGAAGTGCCTGAGGAGCTTGCTATACTATTACTACAGGAAGAAAGATCCATACAACTTATAAAAGCCACCGATTCTGATGCCTCCAACTGAAGGGAGACCCTTAATCCTACACTTGATAATTCAATGGGGTGTATGCTGGGGCAGCATGACGAGTCTGGCCGAAAAGAGCATGTTATTTACTACCTTAGCGAAAAGTTTACCGACTGTGAGATCCAATACTCACTGCTCGAGAGAACTATCCTCATCAACAATCTTTCGCCATCCACTATTTTTCTCTAATTCACCTATCTTCATACGATCCATCACCTTCATCAATTTCTCACCAACAAACCTTCCAGCTTAATTGCTCAACAGTCCACCTTCAGCAAACTCAGATCTTGTCTGTTGCAACTCCATCCGCACAACTCTAGCTTCGAAGATCGCCCTTCGTCCAGATTTCCACCGCCAATACATTCCCTCTGTTCGTCGCAGATCCTGCAGAACTCTCTCTCTGCGGCATACGTATCGATTTCTGTTATCTTGCGGTGATACTGATTCCAACAATATCTTAGTTCCAGGCGTTTCAATCACAATCGCAGCTTCAGCATCACGTTCGCGTCGATTTAACGTTCACGTCGATTTCGACATCTCGGTAAAGTTCGCGTCGATTTCGACATCTCGGTAATTTTCAATCTCTTTTGATTTGTTAAATTGAGTTATCGTCAAGATGTTGCCATGAATGGTTGTTACAAAATTTGATTTGAACTGTTATGACGAAAAACTTGTGTTGTTTGAAAACTGCTAGAAATCCAGAAATTGCTGCTGCCTATGGTGTTTTCGATTTGATATAAATTGTTGAGTGGTGTCGAAGGTATGATAAATTCTAAACTATGTGTTTTCTTGTTTGTGTCGGAATAGGGTGATAGTATTGTACTGATATCATGTTTAATTGTGTTAAATATAAGAGAAGTTTTGATTCGGCTTGTTATTCGGGCCAATTTTAAATGGATAATCGGTGATGACATCACTTTTGTTGATTGATTTTAACGTCGTGCCATTTTGGTGTGAAATGATTAGGAAGAGATCTTGTTGATTTGTTTTGGCTTTGGATTTGAGTAAATAAATTGGGGATGTTTTGAATCGGTTTAATCGTCAAGTCTGTTAGTGAACTAGTGTTGAAGTTGTGATGAAGCTTGTCTACCATATCTTGTGTAATTGTGCTAAATTGCGATAACCCTTGATGTTGCTACTTGTTTGATGAATGTGTGATAATAATACTCGTGTGGTCTAATTGTTGACTAAGTTTAATTGCGTGATATGTTTGTTTGAATCAAGTTGGAGAGAATTTCGATGGCGTTTTGGTTACATATTGAGTTTTAAGTTCGAAAGAAAAATCGGTTGTGGTACTTTTGTGTCCGAAAGTGCTTGATTGTGATTGAAATGTATTCTTTGAGCATTATTAAGATTGCATAGATGTTGTCCAGATTTGGTTTATGCGATTTAAACTTGTTTAGAACTTGACTTCTCATGTTTGGAATTGAATAATAACTTGGGTTGTTGATCCCGGTTTCCGTTAATGGTTTATAAAATCACATTTACCGTTGAGTTGCTTGACTTTGAACGTGCTTATCACAATGTTTGCAAATGCTGATTTTGTATTTACATCAAATATTAACTTGTTTTCTTGGTTCTTATTTGAAAAGTATTCATTTGTTCATGCATTTCAATTTGAGTTTCATTTTGTTTTCAATTCTCTTGCTATTATTAACTTGTTTGTTGGTTTGTGCAAGATTCTCAAGTCGAATCAATTAGCCCACTTCCTCTTCCCATCTTTTATTCACTTTTAATTAATTAAACTAGCATTGATTTATTTACTTGATTTTGTTATTAAAAATGGATTAGTTTGCTAATTTATTTTTCTTAACTCGATTAATTAAGTTAATCAACTCTTGATTAATCGATTAAACTTTCATTTCATGTTACTTTGTTGCTTTAGATAATTAACTAAAAGCCGATTTAGTTATTTAATTTCGTTATTAAAAATTAATTAATTTTGACTCATTAATTTTTCTTAACTTAATTAACTTTTTAAGATAATTAATTAAGCATCTGTTTCCATATTTTATTTGTTTTATTTTAGCTTTGATACCGATTTTTAGTTCGCTCGAACTTGATCTCTTAAATGTGCGATTTATTCGTCTCTTATCCTGTTTGTCTGTTCTGTCTGTGATTTTTATCCGATGCAGAGATTCTTATTCGTTATCTTGATGATGCTTTATGCTTTATTTGACATCTTGAGCTTACATGATGCGATTTCTCACGCATGTGATTTATTTTCACATTGATGATGCTTTGACACTTATTCCGAACATCCGATTTCTGATTTGCTTTTCTTTGCTGGTGAAGCTTTCGCGAAGTTTTTCGAGTTTCTTACGCGTTGCTATACAATGGAGGATTGTTATTCGTTCGGTACTTTCTCATTTACCTTATTTTTGCATTGTGTTTCAATTTCCTTGCCATGAGAAGTAGGAATAAAGATGCATGATCGAGAGTCTCTACTTTAAGTGGGAAAATCTGTTTAAAGTCCTCAAAGGAAGCAATCTTTGTGTTTGTTTAAACACCTCAAAAGAGATAATGTTTGTGTTTGCAAAGGATCTCAAAGGGGCACTTGTTTGTTTAAAGACCTCGACGATGACATTGAGTAAAGTCCTCAAAGAAGGCAATTCGACTCTCCTTTTATTTTATGTTTGCTATTGAGTCAATAAGTGGAGTAAGGGCTCGCAATAAGTTTTTCTTAAAAACGATTCCCTTTAACCAAAAACAGTTTTTCTTCGCTCTTGATAATAAAGCTAAAGATGCGAGAAGGAAATAACAAGTTATGTTATACTAGTTCACTTGAAAATACCAAGCTAATCTAGTCCATCCTCCAAGGTGATTTCGCCTTATCAAACAAGGTCTTAATTAAATAATCTCACAGATTATTACAATGCACAAGTTAACTGCAAGTGATTAACGTACAACTTCTAAGACACACTAATCTTAGACTTCTCAAGGATTCTGACCAACTGACCTCTTAAGGCACAATCAAACAATAGTTTGAAAAAGATTTGTTTATAATAGATTTGCTTCTACACAAGCTGATAGTAAACAGTACTTCAAAAACAATAGACTTAAGAAAATAAAGGAATGTTTATGAACAATCTTGTGAGAGAACGTGAGAATTAGCAGCCTTTTCTTTTAGTTTTCAAGCATATATATAGCAAATAAAATAATATATCTATTAGAGGGTATCTTTGGAAATTTTAGAAAGCTGACAGCTTGTTTTAATGTGGGGGACACGATCGTACAATGCGCCCGTTCTTTCATGGTAGTGGAGAGAAACGTTTGTTTATACCGTGTATTATTGTACCATGTAATCTTATCTTCTTATCTTTTTGACTTCAGAGGCTTCTGACTAAGCATGAGTCAGAAGAAAGAAAATAAAATTTAGTATTCAGAATTTGGTCTTCAGAACCATTCGTCTTTAGAAACATAAGTCTTCAGCATCTGGACTGTTCATCAGAACTTCTGTCTTAAGATATTCAGAACTTGGTTTCTTTGACCGCATATCAGAGCCTAAACTTCAGAGCCTTATGATGTGGTTTGCTATTGTTCATCAGAACTTGGTCACTTCTAATGACTTGACAACGCCTTTCACCAGAAACAGAACTTATTTGTTAAATACTAAAAATAACAAATATTAGAGTACCAAAATTGTTTATACAAACATACCCGTTATCATCAAAACTCAGAGATATAATTGCAGAATCAAATCTTGTTCTAACAATCTCCCTCTTTTTGATGATAACAAAACTATGTATTATGATGACACAATTTTGTATATAATCAGAAAAAGTATAAAAAAAAGATGGGTAAGAAAAACTTATCCTTTATATGAAACTCTCCCTGAATCTAAGACTTGGTAAAGATCATATATCCTGATTATGAACTATATGGGTAAAATTCTCCATGGTTGCAATAGATCAGATATTGAGAGTCTTGATTCTTGATACCAATCATGTCAATTGAGATCTTGAAACCTCAGTGTCACGAAAAATAGATTCCAAAAGAAGTCTGATTTTAGATTTCAATTAAGAGCCTGATTATGAACTTAACCTTCTCAGAGTCTGATTCCAAAAGTTAGACAAAACCTTGTTTAACACTTTTAGATCTTGATTCCAATCAGAATTCATGATTCATAAAAAAGAAGACAATTCTAACAGAAATAAAGGTTTATCTTGGTTAGAATGTAAGCAACTCCCCTTATTTCAGAGAAGATTTTTAGAGAATTTGATTATTAGAATCAAAATATTACTTAAGTTATTTACTCTCTCTTTTTGTCATAAGCAAAAAGGTAATTATGTGTGAAAAACATAAAAACATAAGAAGTAAAAGAAGAAACAGTGAAAAGAAAATAAGAAGTGAAAGAAGTAAAAAAACGAGACTTCATTTGAATTTAAAATGAAAACATCAGATAGAAAGAAGAAAAACAAAATAAAAAGACAAAATCCTAAGGTTCAGAGCAAAAGGAAAAGATCCTAAGAGCCCATGGCCCAGAAGAAGATGGTGTTGGAGCAGATAGCTTTTCTAAAATCAACTGAAGCATATTTTGAATTCGATCATTAACAACCTTCTATTGAGTCATGCTTTCTCTGAAGACTTGTTGCTCTTCTCTGATTACACCAATTGTTTGTTCCAGACGCAAAATGGCGGGATCAGAAGATGAGACAACCATAGCCTCTTTCCTTGTCCTCTCCGCGTCTTCAGCCTCTCGAGCCAATCTGGATACTTCAGCAGTTCTAGCATCTTCCACAGTTTTGAGCCTGACTTCTTTAGCTTCTTTAAGCGCTCTGGCTTCAACCTCTCTTTTCTTTGCAGTAAAAAGTTTGAAGAGTCTGATTCTTTCTCTTGCTTCTTCTCTTTCAGTTACCATCTGATCTCCAACAACTCTGAATGCTTTAGAAAAGCTCCTCAGCCTCTCAAATTCAGAAGACATCCACTTCTGAAAAAGCTTCCAAGAATTGTCCAGATTCTGAGGCTTAGTACTTGTACTTACTTCTTCTTGCAGCTTCGTAACCTTTTTCCTGGCCTTGTTTCGAAACATATCAATGCATTAATCTAAGGTTTTGAGGATAGGTTTTTCATAAGCTACTAAGGCAAGTTCTGGTGTAGAAGGGTTTGGTTCAGATGATTGTTCAGAGAGATCGAAAAGATCAGATATGGTGAATTGTTCAGAGGTGGAGATTTCAAGAGGTTCATAAATAGTCCTTTCAGACATCCCATGGTCCGACGGAGAGTGTGGATCAGATTGGTGAGTGAGTGAGTCATGGTGGATGGCTTCTTGGTTAGAGAATGCAAATTAAGTAAACTTTGTGAGATTAGTGAATTAAGGGTTTCATAATCTGATTGGGGTGAAATGGTTTTAGATATGGAAGTGATTATGGGTGAGGTGAAGGTTTGAAGTGGTTCTGATGGAATGGGAGTTGTGAAAGAGGGAATGGGGATTGAAACAGAAACATGTGTTGTTGAAGGGATTGTGGTAGTAGAAGGATCAGTTAAAGGTATGGGGATGATAGATGGTGGAACAGAAATAGATGGAATATATGAGGTTTGTGTAATGGAAGTTGTAGTGGATGATAATGCATTAACAATTTTTGAAACAATTTCAAAAACAAGTACAATAGTAGCAGACTTACTTGAAGTTTCAGGATAAGTGGCCATAGACACAATCTTAAAAGCTTTATACTTTTCCTTCTTCTTCTTCCTTTCAGACGCAAAAGCCTCAGAACTCTTCTTCCTATTTCCTCTTCAAGGATCAATTGGAACCAGAGGACGGGCTAAATCATTGTATCTGAAGTTGGACATATCATACTTTTCTTATATCATCATCTGTACATAAGCAGCAATACATCCTGGACTATCTTTCTTGGTAAACAGAGGGAAGATCCACTGGAAGTCTTAGGTCAATAATGCTAACAGAAGGAACCATCAGAGGATTAACGTTGAATTTCTTTATCAACCTCATATTCTTCAGATTTCGTGCATTGAAAGATTCTCCAATGTCAGGAGCCAGACACTCTGTGTAGTGAGCTTCCTCAATAAAAAACTTCACCAAACCACTTTCCAGAAAGATGTCAGTCAGAAGACGTCCAAAGGGAATGTAATTTGGAATTTTCTTGTTTGGATCATCTGTGGTTCTGGTCTTTTTGACGGCGTCCCTCGGATAATAGAACATAAGAGAAGGGCAACATATCTTCTGATGAGTCATCAAATAGTATAAAATGTACTTCTGACGAACATTGAAAAAATCAGATGAGCTCGAAGATGGTGTAAGGTTGATACAACCTAGAAGGATTTTGTGCCAAACCCTAAGATTATCATGCAGATCCTTGCTCTTGTATTCAATCTTATCAAGAGAGTAGTTCTTGAAGACAATTTTTTTGATAGTTTCCTTCAAAACCCTAGACTTTTTATCCATTTCATAGACTGTTTTTCCTTCAAGATGCTTCATTCCACGAGGATCTGCTATCGGCTTCTCAGTTATGATGATTCTTTGACCTAACACATGAGAAACCACATGCAAGTTATCACAATCTATCTGTTTTCAGAAATCTTTCACCAAAGCTTCATACACAAGACCATGAAGCCTCATGAAATAATGTTCCCAGCCTTGAGCATTCAATTCTTCCTTTAGGTTACAACCGTTGGAAAGTAGATTGTTAGAATCAACCAGATATTCACGATGAACAATTAAATATTGTGGTTGAGTCATACAATGAACCTGAACAAGATTCTTTGTAATATGAGTTTCATTGATAACGGGTAGAGAGGAAGAAACAGTCACCACGGGAGTTGAAGAACTTGGTGGAATGGTTGATAATGAAGACCCAAAAGTGTTCATTGCTTGTTCCAACTCACTAAAAAATATAACAACCTCTTGCTGTAGTGAATTCATCATTGTTGAAGTTGTTAATGAAGGTTGTCATACGGTGGGAGAACTGACTTTATTGATTTTGCGTTTTATCACAAATGTTGTGGTTAACAAGAGTCGCCATTGACTTTTCTTTTATGCAACAAAGGAAAGGGTGAAAAGAACAAGAAAGACCTTTTTTAAAATTTGAGTTCGGGAGGTAGGTTATGGAAAGGGAAGATGTTAGCATCATATCCACCAATAGTTATCTACGGGCTCTTAGTTGCTAGCTCACTTTTTAAAATGCTTTGTGTTTGTGTGTTTTTGAAAATATTTTGAAAAGACGTCTTAGTGCGGCGAACTTTGTAATGTTTCTCGTATCGCTGAGAACGTATACAAAGTGTTTTTTTGTCTTTGAAAATATTTAGAAAAGAGTTCGTGTATATTTGAAAATTTTGTTTTGTTTGTTTTTTGTGAGCAAGCAACTATAAGTTGTCTACCTACTCGAATGGTCTTTGTTCTTTTCTTCTTTTCCTTTAGACAGTGATATCCTACTATTAGTCAGCAGGTAGTCCTATCG